CACTCCGGTCAGCAGGCTCCTCTCGCTACCCAGGACGTTCTGTCGCCTTGCTCTCCGAGGATGGGCAGACCCTTCTCAACATTCACGAGCCCGCTTCTTCCACGAGCTAAGAAAACAGAACTTTCTTCCCAGACCACTCAAGCCCCTGAGCCAAGTTATATCAGTACCCAGAGCTCCCTGGGGCCCAGTTCTGGGCAGTGTGAGTCACGCAGCTCCCGTCCTTGCCGAAGAGGACGCAGGCACACCCGGGCCCCCACCTCCCAGCAAGCCTCTCCTTGCTCATTTTGGGAAGCAAGGCTTCTGCTTTGTCCAGAATCGGAAAGACACGGAAGGAATCTTTAGTCCTCACACTAGGTCTCCAAAAGCTGGTCTGAGCCCTGGGGATGAGTCAGTGACAAAGTTCTTGACAACCAGCGACAAGCGGAGAACAATAAGGACAAAAAGGGGTGTGTCTGAAAAACATTCGAGGCTTCTTACATTTTTGTTTTAAAAGTAACATTTCTTTAAAGTAAAATGATGGTCACTGACAGTGGATGATATATTTTTTTAATGTCCTTACTTGGCAAAACTGAAAGTTGGCATCTCTAGTCCAACCTCAAAAAAGGATTTTTTTTTTTTTAAATAAAAAGTCTGGTACCAGGCTAGGGAGGCTAGTGGGAGGGGCTGGGGGTGGGGGGCGGGCAGGCAGGGATGGTTAATGGGTACAAAAAAAAAATAGAATAAATAAGACCTGCTATTGGATAGCACAACAAGGTATTGTGGTCTATATATGTGTTACATATATAGGTATTGCAGTCAATAATAATTGTACATTTGGAAATAACTTGGAGTGTAATTGGATTGTTTATAACTCAAAGGATAAATGCTTGAAGAGATGGATGCCCCATTCTCCACGATATGCTTATTTCACTTTGCACCACAGCATCTCAGGTACCCCATAAATATATACACCTAATATGTACCGTAATTTTTTTTAAGTCTGGGACATACTGTGGTAGATAACACACTACAAAAGAGAGTAAGACCAAGCCCTAGGGTCAGAACCACAGACTCAGAGAGTGAGGAGGGCACCAGAGCATCGGTCCAATCTCCCTTTGAGACCTAAGGATGCTGGAACACCCCTCAGTGACAGAGCGCGCATTCCCTCAGTGCACAGCGCTGGCAGTTAGGGAGTGTTTCCTTGTATTGTGGAGAAACCTGCATGTGCTTGAACCTGGACCTATGCCTGGGACCACCTATAGCGAGGCCTTTCTAAGGACAGCCTTTCACCTGCAGAAAACAGGCTCCACCCTCCACCGCTTCCTGCCCTGACTTGCACAGACAGTTTTGTTTGCTGTGCAGAGCTCTTTAGTTTAATTATATCTCATTTGTCAACTTTTGCTTTTGTTACAATTGCTTTTGGCAATTTCGTCATGAAATCTCTGCCCGTGCTTATGTGCCGAATGGCATTGCCTAGATTTTCTTCTAGGGTTTTTATGGTTTGGGGTTTTACATTTAAGTTTTTAATCCACCTTGAGTTAATTTTTGTATAAGGTATAAGGAAGGGATCGAGTTTCAATTTTCTGCATATGGCTAGCCAGTTCTCCCAGAATCATTTACTGAATGGGAAATTCTTTCTACATTGCTTTTGTCGTGTGTCAAAGATCAGATCGTTGTAGATGTGTGGCCTTATTTCTGGGTCTTTATTCTGTTCCATTGGTCTATGTGTCTGTTTTTGTATCAGTATCATGCTGTTTGGGTTACTGTAGCCTTGTAGTATAGTTAGCTGAGATCTAATTGCCCCTTTGCTTCTCCCCACCCCAATCATTCCTCTTGTGGTGTGATTTGCCCAAGATCACGTGGTTAGCAAGTGAATCCACACCTAGTTCTTTCACACCTGGCCCAGTGCCTATCCCTAGTTCTCTAGGTGGGGCAATGGCTCAGGGTCTTCAGCTCATAAGATGGTTGTGGCTGTTGGAGACCAGTTGGAAAAGCAAGAAACAAACTCAAGTAGAAGAAAAAAAGCAACACACACACAAAAACACAATGGGATCCCAATCAACATGTATATGTCTACATAGAAAAAAGTCTGGAAGGAAATAAGCCAAAATGGTTGTGGCAGTCATCCCTTGAAGTGAGCTAACAGATCATTTTTATCTTATTTTTGTTTTTCTGTGTTTTCTAGTTTTTCTACAATGAGTTGGCTCTTATTTGTATAATAGAATAAAATCACGACCATTTAGGAAGATTAAATCAGAAAAGTAAAATTAAAGTCATGTGGCCAAGACCCTGCTTCCCAGCTGCTCTCCAGTGAGCAAGCTCAGGGGGAAGAGGGAGTCTGAGACTCCAGAAAAGGTGGAGCATCCCAGCCCCACCCTGTGCACCCAGCCTACCTGCTGGGAAGAGCAGGCCTCGCCCCACCTGCCCCACCCCAGGTCTTCTGAAGCCTTGCTGTACCCCACCCCTAACCACAACAGGCTCCTCATCCCTGACATGCAAGATAGGAACAGGTGGGGAGCAGAAAAGAGGGTGCAGAGGACAATGGCTAACCTCCCCACCTCCCCGCCGGGTCTCTTACCCAGCACAAGGTGTTCATGTTGATTTAGAGATGGGGGATGTAACATGGGTGGAGTGTGATCACGCCAGGCCCAGACACAGCCCTCCTGATCTTAGTCCAGTGCTTACTCCTTTGGGGCTTCAAGCAGAGCCCCAAGCCCTGCTGAGACAAAGCTATTGCTGGGGGAGGGTATGTTGGGGCCATGGGTCACCAGCATCCTCCATGTCACCCCTCCAGTTTGGCTCCCCCTGGGCCATCTGTGGTGCCTGGAAGACCCAGGCACACGGTCTGTGCTCAGCCAAGCCCTGATTAGAACTGGGGGACCCTGCCTGGGTCAGATTCCAGGCTGACTCCCCCAGAGCAGGGACCAGTTCAGATTATCCCATCACATGGCCCCTGGGAAGTTGTTTCCCTCTTCAGACCTCAGTTTTCCCATGAGTAAAATCAGGGTGGGGAGCATTTGACAGTGACTAGACTGGGTGGTCTCTAAGTTTCTTTCTAGTCTCAGCATTCAGAGAGTCTGGGACTGACCAGTGACCCTGCCCCCACCCAGGGGAGGCAGAAGCTTCCCATCAGCCCTGCCTCTCTGGCTGGCCCTGGCCCCCGGTCCCTTAGTGGATGGTCTGGGTCTGAGGGAAGTCCCAGCCACACTTGTCTGTGTGGTGGAGCCCACGCAAGTGTGCACACGGGGTGTGGCTGTGTGGAGGTAAGGCCGGGAGGGGAAAGGCTGCTGGGAAGACAGGCTCCCCATTCTGTTTCTGGCACAGCCACAGTCTCCGATTCACTCACCTTTCCAGGGATTCTATTTCTTTCCCCTCCGGAATCCCAGCTTCTCCCAGCTACCCCACCCAACTCCCCACCCCTCGCCCTTTCCCATTCATCTTCTCCATTCCAGCCTCTATTTCAAGACCCAGCTTTGTGCATTTTCCTCTGTTTCTGTCTGCCCTACAATAGGCCTGTCACCTAGGAGGGGCAGTGCAGCTGTGGGTTGAATGACGTGTCTGTGTCCCCTCCATGTCCCTCCCTCAGGAGCCAGCCTCCTCTGCCCTGGTGTCCCCAGGCCTCTTCCAAGTGGTGCCCACAGCTCTCAGAGCCCAGTTCGTTCCAGATAGAAACGAAGATGGGCTCTCATTGCACAATGACAAACTGAAATCATTATTCTGCCAAGATCCGAATGAAAAATACAGAAGCCTGACGTAGCCATGATTTGTTACCGTGACATTGCCTCTCAATGCGATGCACAAATTTTAATTAAAATCTCAGGAGTGATTTTGGAGTCCTTTATTGTGTGCCTCTGGGCCCTTCCAGGCTGCCCTGGGGGAGGGGCAGGGCCTCTTTATAACACAAAGGCTCAGATAACTGTCCCTAAAGGATTGGGAGGTGGGGGGATCAGGGACAGCTCAGGCCGGCACTGCCCCTGATGGGCCCGGGTCTTAGTGCGCGCATGGTCACTCCCAGCCTCCCCCACCGCTCTACCCATTTTACAGGTGAGGAAACCAAGACCAGGGAAGGTTTGACAAGGACCCACCCTTAGCAAGGATGTGTGTTTGTGGGGCACGAGAGCGTGTTCTGGGTGCATGGAAGGTGAGATTCAGCCCAGGAAAAGTTGGGGAAGCTGAGAGGGGATGAGCATTCAACCAGCCCCCTGTGTAACAGGAGCCGCTGGCTCAGGGACAGTTGGCTAAACTGAGGGTGAGATGGGGACAGAGGATTGCAAGAGCAGAAACGCAAACACCCTGCTTTCTGTTAGCCACTCCTGGAGCTGGAAGAAGGCAGGTTGGGAGGAGAGTCTACCCCCGGCTTCTCAGAGAAGAACCTGAGAAAATTCTCAGTCCCTCTAGAAAAGCCTCAGTCCCCTGAGGCTGCCTGAGGAGACGAGAAGGGCTGAGGGGCTGTGCTGATGGCCCGGGTGGCACTCTGGCTTCCTCAAGGCCCAGCGGTCTTGCAGGGCATTGGCCTAGGATCACTTGCCCTGGTTTGGGGCTCAACAGACATCAGAGGGCACTGGCTGTTGCAGGGTCGCTGGGGTGAGGGTTAAGTACAGAGTGAGCAGACGGTGTCGGGTGGACCACAAGCTGAAGCCCACCCCAGGCCCCAAGGGCTGGCCCCAGAGGCTGATCCGCTGGGCCAGTAAGAGCCTCCAGCTAGGCACCACCTCCCATGGTGAGGCCTGGAGCAAGTCTCATGCCCTCTCTGTCCCTGGCCTCACCTGAGAAGTAGTGACAGTTACCACACTGTCCTGCTCCAGGACCAAGGTGAGGATAGAGGGAGGCAAGATGTGGCCAGGAAGCATTTGGAATCCAGGTTTTCAGGGTCCTCTGCCTGGAGGACCAGGAGCCCCTTGGAGTGAGGTGACCATCTCACAGCATGGAGTGCTTACTCCACCCCACCCCTCCCAGCACCCATCAGCCCATCAGCAGGTCCCACGGATGCTGCCTCGCCGCAGCCACCATCCTGGACTCACCCGCAGGGCCGGCAGGGAGCTGACCTGGTCCATGGTGAGTGTTGCCTCCTTGTAGTGCTTCCCGGGAGGACAGAGCTTCAGGAAGGTGTCGTGGATGCTGAGAAGAGAGGCGTGAAGGCCATGTGAGCAAGATGAAGGCCAGCAAGCTCGTCTCCTGCTGCAGGTGTGGGTGTCACTTTGGGGAAGGAGACTCGGGGTTGACTGACACAGAGAAGGCTGTAATCAATAATAATAAAACACAGTAACAAATATGTCTTCTAGAAACATCCCTGGACCCTCAGGCATGCCAGGAACACCATGGGGGATGCAGAAATGAGCCACATGAGAGGAAAATTAGGCAAATATGTCCTGTAGCCAGCTGCACACTCTATGAGGGGTCATCACAGGATGTCAGAGCTGAAGAGCCTCTGACCAGTCCTTCAGTTACTAATGGGGAAGCCAGCAGCAGTTCCATCCTCAACCTGAGAAAAGAGGTCACTTCATGGGCCTGAGTGAGCTGGGATTAGAACTCAGCTGCCTGCCACCAGCAAACCACCAGCCTTCCTAGGCCACTTGACAGCAAGCTGGGTTCCAGCAGATTATGGACTGGGTGTCTTCCTAATTGTCCCTGTCATTGACATCTCTGTCTATAAGACCCCATGCCAGTCAAGAGGATTTTGCTTATAAGATACAGGCAGGGGATGACCCCTGAGGCTGTGTGACCCCTGAGAGGAAGAGGGCAGGAGGGAGCGCTGCCCTAGGCCGAGAGAGGATGAGCCCTCATTCCCTGACCCTCTCACCCTATCCTGTCCCTGTCCACCAGCAGGCTCTTAGGCAGATAGTGAAGCGAGGACAGTGGTGCCCTGGGATCCAGGAGGCCTGGATGCCAGAACCTGAACTGCTATGGCAGGGCTGTGACCTCAGGCAACTCACCTGAGACTTCTGAGCTTTAGTTTCATCACCTGGATAAGGGAGAGAATGATACCACTCTTGGAGGCTGTGGTGTGAAGGAGGCTGAAGGGTGTGTGTGTTTATGTGTAAGTGGTGGATGGCGGGGGAACCACAGGCTGGTTAAAAACACCGTCTCTAGAGCCAGCCAGATCTACGTTCAAATCCTGACTCTGCTATGTCATAGTTCCAAGACGTGGAGCAAGGTTCTGAATCCACCTGAGCCTCAGCCACCTCCTCTTTGCAGTGGGGGTAATAAATCTCCCCTGGCACGCTCGTGAGGATTAAATGAGGGGAGATGTATGAAATGTCAGGGCAGTGTGTGGTAAGTGAGAGTGTTTGTGTTACCCGGGGCCCCGGAGGGACACCCAGCCTGCCCCTCTCTCTGTGTTCCTCTCCTATACTCCAGGAGCCCCTGTACTGTCGGGCTGGGCCCAACCCACACCTAGATTGTGACAGTGGGAGCCCCTCACCCTGACTCCAACTTTCTCTCCCCTCTCTTCATAGGCTCCAAAATGACCCCTCCCCCCTTTACACCTTTCCTGTTCCTCTCCTGTCTGCCATCAAACCTCTATTCTCCTTGGAGTGCTAAGAGGCCAGCAATCCCATGAAAGGATTCTGCTCACGGGAGTGAGTGACTAATAGTCCCCTATTGACATTCCAGGGCTTGTGGTTTGTTGACTCAAGTCAGGCTCTGATTGGTGGAATTTAGGGACATGTAACTAAGTGAAGACGGCGCAGCGGCTCACACCACCAGTAATCCCAGCCTTTTGGGAGGCCGAGGTGGGAGAATCACTTGAGTCCAAGAGTTTAAGACTACCCTGGGCAACATAGGGAGACTCCATCTCTACAAAAATTTTGAAAATTAACCAGGCATGTTGGCACGTATCTATAGTTCTAGCTATTTGGGAGGCTGAGGTGGGAGGATCACTTAGTCCAGGAGGTTGAGGCTGCAGCAAACTGTGGTTGTACTACTGCACTGCAGCCTGGGCAACGGAGCAAGACCCTGCCTCAAAGAACAACAAAAACTAAGTGAAGAATGTGGAGGGTGAGTTTATGGGCGGAGACTCAGAGGTAGAGCAGGAGGCTCTCCCAGGGCCCTGACAATGGCAGGTGGAGGCCTCGCAGACTGCCACCACTCACTGTTTTACATCTCACTGCCTAGAAAAACATCCTTCAGATCCCAGCCATGGGAGCGTGGAGAGAAACTGTGCTGGGACTCTGCGTGCCCATTGCACTCTGCGCCCTGTGAGGCTCACTTCTACCGACAGTGTTCCCACCTCCCTTGCCCTCCGGCTTAAAGGAAGCTCCAGGAGGACTGGAGGCATGAGAGAGGGGTGGGGATTTATCCTCCCCTGCCTCCAGCCCCACATGACTGCAGTATCTGTGTTCTGCTGTCTCGGGCTAGCGGCCAACTTCTGCAGCTCCAGCTCTCAGCTGGCACCTCAGGCTTGGGGCAGTCAGGACTCGCCCCTGTGTGGGTCCCTGGGCCTCCTTCTGAACAGTTCCTTCACTGCAACGCCCCTTCAAAGACACTGCTAAGTGTGCCACCTGTTTCCCACCGGGATGCTCAGAGATCTATCTGGATCCTATTTCTCTACCTCTAGCTGTGAGATCCGAGGAAAACTGCCAGACCTCTGCGCACACCCGCAGACCCAGGTTCAAATCTTGACTCTGTCCTATGGGGAGCCAACCTCTTTCCAGAGGTATTGCGCAGACCCGTGTGAGGGCTGACGGATGGGAGCTGGAGTGCCATGTGGTATCCATGGAGAGCACCGTGACTGCCGCCTTGGCCACAAAAGGAGCCTGAGCTGTCACTAGGGTCTAGGGACTGCACATATTTGGGAGGGAGCGGAAAGCAGGGTGTGGAATGGGTTGGGGAAGAGATTCTCGAGGAAGGTACTGGGGTTGGGGTAGGCACCACAGGTCAACAAGGAGGGGGAAAATCTGTCACTGCTGAAGTCTCCAGTGGCCCACAAGGGGCAGGGGGCAGGCCGGGCGCAGTGGCTCACGCCTGTAATCCCAGCACTTTGGGAGGCTGAGGCGGACAGAGCACTTGAGGTCAGGGGTTTGAGACCAGCCTGGCCAACATGGTGAAACCCCGTCTCTACCAAAAATATTAAAAATTAGCCGAGCGTGGCGGTGCGCTCCTGTAATCCCATCTACTAGGGAGGCTGAGGCAAGAGAATCGCTTGAACCCAGGAGGTGGAGGTTGCGGTGAGCCAATATCGTGCCACTGCATTCCAGCCTGCCTGAGCGACAGAGCAAGACTCTATCTCAAAAAAAAAAAAAAAAAAAGGGTCAGAGGCAGCAGGAGTGGCTGCCCCCAGCCAAAAGGAGCATTTTGTCCCTGTCATTGTTAGAATTGCTGGCGTGAGGCCGGGCACGATGGCTCATGTCTGTAATCCCAGCACTTTGGAAGGCCTAGGCAGGCAGATCACAAGGTCAGGAATTCAAGACCAGCCTGATCACCCTGGTGAAACCCATCTCTACTAAACAAATACAAAAATTAGCCAGGTGTGGTGCTGCATGCCTGTAATCCCAGCTACTTGGGAGACTGAGGCAGAAGAATTGCTTGAACCTGGAGATAGAGGTTGTGGTGAGCCAAGAGTGAGCCATTGCACTCCAGCCTGGGAGACAGAACGAGACGCCATCTCAAAAAAAAAAAAGTAAGAATTGCTGGTGTGAGATGATAGAGAGTAGACGAACTTTTAGCAAAACCAATTTTCAACAAAAATTAATGTTTTGTCATTTTTTAATCTCTAAGACAATGTGCAAGTTCACTTGGGCTCCCTGCTCCCAACCACGGGCGCCACTGGGAGTCCCTGCTCTACGCAACCAGCTCTCATGGACATTCTTCATTTTTCATGCCAATCTTGCAAGGAAGGGGCCATTGTTTCTTTTACAAAAGAGGAAACGGAAAGTCAAGTAGGTAAAATAATCTACCTACGGTCACACAGTGTTAAATGTTAAAGATCAGACACAAAGCTCTTTCCCTAGGAGGCATCAGGGACTGCTGAAGGACAGACAAGAAACTCCCCACCCTTGACACCCTCTTCTCATGACAAAGCCTGTGTGCAGGGTGCACTCACACACATCTTCTCACTGAATCTTCCCAACAACTCCCTGTGGGAGAAGTAGAGGGGCCACTATTTTTACAGATGGGTAAACTGAGGCTCAGAGAGTTTAAGAGTTGTACCTAAGGTTCTACAGCTGGGAAGAGACAAAGTGGAGGGCTGAACCCTAAACCATGTTCTTCAGGCTGTGCCACCTACTCCTAAAGGGCCCACCCTTCTTCCAGGTGAGAGACTCAAGTGGCCCCCCTGGAGAACCCTCTGGGGAGGGTGCTGGTGGGGGGCCCTGCCTGGAGTTGGTGCCTTCCTAGGCTGCAGAGTGGGCGGGCTGCCCACAGATGAATCGTGGCTGCATCTCGGCTGCCACAAAATGTTCTCCTCCTCCAAATACGGATCAGCCAGCTCTAAAAGGAACCCTGAATTAATCACTAATGGACTCAAAAGTCAAAGCCATTTGAAAAGCTCACACGTTCAGCCTGCCAGCAATCCAGCAGCCAGGCCATGGCTCCCTTCCACACTGCCTGGAGAGGCAGGAGGGGCTGTCTTCAGGAGCAGGGGCCCTAAGACGGGGTTGAGGCTACTCCACCGCTAACTCTCCATGGGACCTTGGACTCACCAAGTCCCCTCTCGGGCCTCAGTTTCCCTTCTGTGAAATGAGAGTCACAGCATGCCCCCTGGCTCCCTCCAGTTTAGGAATCCTGTGATTCTAGGTTTTCCTGTCTTTCTCTGGCATCCCATTTTCCCCCTTGCCTCTGACCCTCTAGTTTAGTGGTTCTCAACAGGGTCCAATGTAAGAATCATGTAAGGAGTTTGTAAAAGGATCTGCCCTCCCCACCCCTCGAGATTCTCATTCAAAGCCAGGATACAGCCTGAGGCGTCCACAGGTTCCACAAGCTTCTCAGTATTTCTACGGCCCCAGCAAGATCAAGAACATGACAAGCCCGAATTCCCGCTCCTCAAGTCCCAGCCTGGACTCGGCTTTCTGGCTTCACCCACACACCACCGGGTCCTTTGCTCTATGGTACTGCATAGTAGGTATTTTATAAATCGTCCTTCTTTAGCCTGAAAATATGGCTTTTAGTTCCCTGATCTGCTA